CCGTTTTCCAGGGCCCTAAAGATTACTAGAACAGATAACAATTGCAACGCTAAATTAAGAGGTGAGCGGCCATAACGTGAGTTTCTCTGGACCAGACGACCCAACCCTGCTGCTTGGTGGGTTCGAGGTAAAAGAGTGAGATTAGGTTGTGACTCACGGATAGAAGGTCGTTAATTTTCTGGATGAATCACCTCGTCGCAGCCTTAAAGAGGCTACTTTAGAAAGCTGCAGGTAATACCACGGTGCTGAGGTTAGCTTCTGGACCCCTTGGAGGAGAGTCTGCAAGCAGGGTGCTTATCACTAATCCAGTGGTTACCTTTGCTTATCGGACAGCAAAACATGGTGGCAGCGGTGGGATGGTTTTTAAAGGAATAGAGACCCCCCAGAAGAGAAGGCGCGCTACAGAGAACTGATAGGCGTCGATAGAACAGCCCTAGAGAAAAAGGAGCTGTTAGTGGCTGGGAGACCCCCCAGTCAGTACCCCCAATAAATCACTAGAGGCTAGTGAGGAGGGGTAGAAAGCTTACGAGGGTTACTGACCATAATCCAGAGTCGTAGGCAAGCAGCTAGTCAGTCGTAGTCTAAAACGTTAGGATAAAGTCTGGAAACTTTGAGGACCGACAACCTTGACCCGACAAGAAAAGACATAACGATGGCCTCAGGAGTGGCACCGACGAGTACAGGGCTAGGAGAATCCGAGCCGACTCAGGGAAGCCAAGAAAGACAGGAGCCAGTAGAAAGAGGCACAGACGGCCAAAAGTCAGCCGAACAAGATCCAGTAGGGCAGTCAGCAGGAGGAGTGACAAAAATGCAAATCATCCTGTATGGGAAAGGATATGACACCTGGCATCCAACAGTAAAGGAAACGCTAAAAGGAAGCAATCTCAGGGTAGACAAGGGAACCCTGGTACAAACTCTGACAAAATATGTAGAAGAAAATGGAGTGTACTACTGTACAAATGTCCAGCAGGGAGTTCAAACAGTAGTTCTAAGAGACCCAGGCGAAATTAAAATGAAAAAGGAAGTTAAGAAATGGTTACAATGGTGGGTACAGCAGATAGAAACACCAAGAGATGCCACAATAGTGTCCGTAGTTAGTCCCTCAGCTGAGTATGACCACTTAGTAAAGATGATAACCAGAGTAACAGGATTAGGATGGATCACCATAAACCCTGAAACAAGAGCAGCGGCAAGATACAAGGAGTATGAAGGAGAATTGACAAAAATGAGAGAATATAGAAAAGAAAAAAAGTCAGAGATGGACCTGAGAAGTGAGCAAAGCTCCCTCGCACATACCCCTGAAGGGTCGGCAAGCGAAGGAGAAGGCAAAAGCAAACCAGTGGAAGATAAGGTTAGAGAGAATATACCCCCCCTCAAAATCAAAATAGAAAGCCTAAAAGACGTGAGGCCAAAAGAGAGAGAGCTTATATTCCCGCCTCTCGTCACCGTCCCACGTTTGCAAGCTCCACTCCAAACCCGAGTAAGTACAGGGAAACTCTCAAATACAACTCAGATTTAGATACAGACGAGTAAATAAAAGCAGAGCGACTAAGGTCATTCACAAGTAGATTCAAAAAAGGAACTGAATCCGAAGAAAGTAATGATGAGTGGACAGAGGGTGAAGAGTATAAGAAACAGCTTAACAAAAACCTAGAACTTCTTGCTCAAAGTATAGTGGAGAAGATGGAAAAGCTTAGAGCACCCGGAGCAGGATGGACAGAGGGAGTGTTACGAAGGGTGCCAACTCAGGAGCAGACGGAACCACTAAAAGACCAGCCGGGTGAGCAAGAGAATCTTAAAAAGGGCCCCTTAGGGGAAACCCCAAAAACTCACAGAAAAAAGAAAACTAAAGAAAAACACCAAGAACCAGAATCAGTCATATTCCAGTCAAGATGATGAGAAAGAAAATTCCCAAAAGAAAATCAGGAAAACAGTAGGGCTCAAACAGGTCCTTGAACCAGTCCCAAAGGGGACTCAATGCGTGAAGTTTCAAAATGGTACCCGAGTATACCAGGTGATAGGGACCCCATGGTCTATGGAGGCGGATGCATTACTGGTGTTTACAAATCATAAATACAAAATCCATAACTCGACCTACAGAAAAGCTCTAAAAAAAGTAGCTGGTAGGGAGTACCAAGCTGAAATAAATCATCTTGTTAGTAAACTAAAGAGCACAGAGCCAAAAACGAAAATGACCAGTGGGGCTGACACTCCATATTATGCAATAATACACATTCCGATTCGGAACTATAAGGAAGCAACCAGCGACACCGGCTACCTCAGGGAAATGTTAGAAGCTTTGCAGAAAGGAGTGTTCCGAGCCATAGAGTTCGGTTTCAGGCGCATAGTGATAGGGATAGATGGGCTCCGGTCCCATCATCTGCAGTGGGAAATAGCCGAACGAGTGGCAGTCAATTCAATGACATACCTGGCCAAAGACATGCCAGCAGAGGCCCACTTAAAAGAAATGATTATAGTAACCCCCACTCATCTAGATGAAGATCGAAAATCCAGAATCGTGGCCTCAATGACAAAACCAGAGGAAAAAACAATTAAGGAACCCCTAAAGTTAGGGAAAGAGGACACAGAAAAATCATTACCATCACCGGGAGCCAAGAAAAGTGAAGACCCGTTAAGGATCAGTCCTCAGGGGTCGAAAATGCCTCTGACCTCACCCTCAGAAAAGGACCTGAAAAGTTCTGTCACAAGACGACGCAGAAGCGGAGCAGATTCACGAGAAGGGATGTTAAAAAGTGAAACATTAGCAAAAATATCCTGATGCATGCTCAATAATCCAGGTAGAAAAATCTAAAAAAGTTAAATCTGGTCCTCTGGACATTCAAAAAAACAAAACAAAGCAAATCAACAAAAAAATGTAGAAACGTTTCATCTCTCATCCGAGAGACTTCCTCGGTCTGAGGTGCTGTTTTCAGCTCAGTCTCTTAAATAGCACCTTCTCAGAGTGGATCAACCAGTTTTGCTGCTGACAACCAAAACCGGCTGATCACATGCTCAAGAAGGACCATCAGCCTAACAATGGATCATTAGCACACTGATGGCTGTTTACTGTTCACAGAGGGCTGAGTGATACTAGCAATCACAGCATTGTAAGAGGGGGACAATTGAACCCGGAGGTCTCCACCCCTGTTTAACGATGGACGATTTCTTTTCACAAAGATGGCCTCCTTTACTCCTCTCTCAAACCATCGTTCCTCTCTGTCCAGGATGTGAACATCTTCATCCCTGAAAGAGTGACCGCTGGCCTGGAGATGAGTGTAGACCGCAGAGTCCTGGCCTGATGATGTTGATCTTCTGTGCTGGGCCATCCTTTTGGCCAGTGGCTGTTTTGTTTCCCCGATGTAAGACTGATCACAGCCCTCCTGACACTGAACAGCATACACAACATTACTCTGTTTGTGCCGGGGGACTGGATCTTTGGGATGAACCAG